CACTGAGTGATTGACTGACGATCACGAACGTGCATCCCTGACATTCAGCTCGCGGAAGACTCCCACACGCTCACCCTCCCAGCGCATTTCTGCACTGCGCGGCTGGCGGGACCAGGGCTTATTGTACTGAACACACCCAGTCCATGTGAGATTTCCAAGGGCCTTGGAAGTTGGAGTAGCCTTCATGCACATCGCCCAAGCCCCAGTCCCGATGAAGAAGCAACGGGCTTGACGCTATCAAGCCAATATCTTCCAGGGATCTCATACGCCCGGCCAGGTGGCGGGCACGCATACCCTAACGACGCAGCCGTCCTTCCCCAGCTGGGTCTCCTATTGACCAATGCCAAGACCCGCACGCACACAGGCAGAGGCCCCCCACGAGCAGCCGAACAGGCGCATTGCTTCTTCTCAGGAAAAAGTGACGGAGGTGGTTGGGGACCACGCGCTATTGGAGCACGCGGGCTGCCGCCGATAGGATATCTTGCAGGACTCATCAAGCCAGAGCCGATCCTCTCCAGCACGCTTTGCGTGCCGTTCAGTGCAGCGAGGCTTCGCCTATGTGCCGTCCCTTGTAGGTTCGTTTATTTTCTTCTGGGCAGGTGTCAGTTGTGCGCCCACCGGCGGGCGCTTCGATAGAACATTCTGAAACCAATGGATTGAGCCGTTTAAGATGAGAGATGCGGATGGCTCGCCGGAGCCTCGCGGTGGTGGCGTTGAGGCGTCAGAATGCTAGATCCATATGAGCCAATTTCCCAAGACATGATATCAGAGACGTCATAAATTGGCATACGTAGCTCGCATGGTTAGCCAGAGTTCGCTCACCGGCTTCACGCAAGGCCACGGTAGATCTCCGCATATCACATTGCAGAGGAGGATCACCTCGTGACACGCTGACCGGTCAAAACTGAGCAATGTAAGGGATGGTGAGCCTACCGGTTCGTTGCCGGCTTACGAATCAGCTTGCAGAGCCTTTGTTACTCTTTGTCGAGCAAGCCCTTAATTCCCTCAAGACCGCCGGCTACTATCATCTCAGCCCCGGAGCCTCGTTGGCGATTGCTGTAAATGTATCGCAAGGGTAGGCACAAACACCTCGCACAACATCTCAACTATGATTACCAGGTGATATTTTCAAGGTCTGATTTTTTAACTTCCCCGCCAGTGCTGGGGGCACAAAGTTGTATTTTCCCACCAGTCTTCTGTCATGATGCTCAGCTCTGGGTTGTATTCGGATAAAAGCACAACGTTGCACGAAGCCTGTGGTTCCCAAGTCGGGAATACTCCTTTGATCGGGCTTTCACGGTCGATATCAGTCGATCAGAAAGTCGGCTCCGTTCACTGGGTCATTCGAACCCTCGGGGCTCTCATGGCAAATCTGAGGACCAGGAGGATTTGGAGAAAGGCTCAGACTGCTGTTGAAGTTTGTCCAATTCGCTGTTTTGGACACTTCACTGGAGAGAACTCAGTCTAGTACAGGTTTGATTCTTCTCAATGTTTGGTACATCCGTTTGACAATATCGCTGTGGCTCATTGAGCATTTTTGGTCGTTTGTAGTGTTGCACACGCTTGCGTAAGCAGAGCTTCGAGATCTGACTCAAGACTCATACTCATACGCCAACACCCAGCAACTCAAGATTACACCGTGTTCTGCACAACACGAGACTAGGATCTACGGGATCTTGACAACGCCGATGAATACAAGCGGAACCTTATCATATCGCACTCGCAATCCGCAGCACCGACAAGAGCAGCCAGGCATCGCAAGAATTACCCTTTCAAGCAAAGGTCAGCCAGCATGCAAGTTTGTCGTCAAATTAGGCTTCGAGATGTTGCATCCCTCTGGATCCCGGCAAATTGGTTTAGGTTAGTTGCAGTCTGGCCCCATGTTTCTATTTAGCACAGGCCAGACTCCGCTGGCTGGGGTCCCGACAGGTTAGGAAGCGGCGAGTATTCTGGGCCTGTCAACCCGTTTCCTGCAAGGAGCCATGGCTATTCCCGATTTACAGACGGGAGTCTGCAGATCACTGATCACTCCATCTGGTCGTCTCTCCAAGAAGGGGCCATTTCCAGGCAAAGCGGGCGGGCGGCTAAAAGGGCCGCAGTTTAAGTCTTCGCGCGGGCCACAGAAGGGACTGTGCCTCCGAAATTGGGGACCGATGATCGTTGACTTGTTTGGGGCACATCCTGTCGGCTGGCGACCTGCCTGAAGGAGAAGTCCCACTGGCCGAAAGGCGGGTATCGCAACCGGAAGTCTTGTCGATGTTACCCACCCAGCCTCTGTGAGCGGAGAGCTTGTCGCTTGTTGAGTCCGACAAAGCAGGCCTAACCCTGCTCCACTTTGGCGGCCGTTGTCTATAAAGACCGTTCCTAGGCCGATTTCAATGTCAAGGTTGTGCAGTCTGGTTACCCACTCGGCAGGTGGGAAACAAGATGCAACCTGCATGTGTGACCGAGCGAGCATGTTGAGTTGTTGTAGCATTGCACAGCATTCGGGTCTGCGAAATCGATATAAATCTCTCGGGTACGCGTTCCTTGTCCAGGTAACCCCAGTCACACGAAAACATATCATGATTCTATCAACGATTTTCCCAAGCCGTGTCTCGAAGGGTAACCACCATGCGGAATTTCACTTGGACAGGAGGTAGTATCTTTGTTCCTAAGCGTGAACCACTAGGACGAAGTTTTACCACGTTTTATCACCTGGGCCTGAGTGCTTGAATCTGGGCTGCCCGAAGCGCAGCTTCCTTACAACTGGCGGTGTCAAGTAGTAGTGCCTAGACCTCGTTGCAGGTCTCATCTGCTCCCGGGCAAGTGATAATGGTCAGCTAGAGGTTAAGCTGCACCACCCAATAAGCATGTCAAGGATGTGTTGAAGTGTAAGTCCAGGGCCTCATCAAGTGAAGCGTGTGGCATGATCATATTGCTTTCTTGTTCCCCATATGTGAGTAAGGAAGCCTGGCAGCCCGTCAAGGTGCTAAATATAATCTGTTGACCAGGCTTCGTGGCGTTAGCTGGCTGCGGGCTTCTATGGCACCTCGGTGTTGCTTCAGCCTAGCGATACCATGCTCTGTTGTGTTCAAGGGCAAACAAGTGTTGACATGGTATCGGACGACAACTGCTCACTCAAACCTAGACTTCGACTCTCGGCGCAGCTTGTTGGCGGTGACTACAGGGCAATACTGTCCCCTGAAATCCCGTTAGTCTCCGAGATCTTCGGCGAAGTCTTCCGCGAAGTATGTCAGAGGTCGTTGATGCTGAACATTGGTTTGTTGTGGCACTCTTATAAGGAACAGCGTGATATGGCAATGACCTGATGGATGACACGTCCCTGGAAGCGCCTCGACACTTTCGTGCCCGGTCTTTCGTAACGTGTATCATGTTCGCTGTCGTGGAGAAGAATCTCCCTAGCTCCTCCGTCGCGTTTTGCTTTGGGGTCCGAAAGCGATGGAACCAACACCCTGCTCAAAGACGCAGAAGCATCAACACACCTCAAGCCGAGACCGCAGCCCAGTCTCTCGCCAGCGTGAACCAATATCTGGGTCGGTGGCCCGGCGTTTGCCTATCCCTCGTAGGTGTATTATTTCTTGACATTGGAATGGAATGTGCGGGAGGGAAAAGGAGGCTACTATCTCGCATGAGTAGTCGTTCTGGCGCCATCGTCACCACGGTGGGTTGTCCTGCTTGATATCAGGCTCGAGGAGGCAAGCCGAAACGCCCAGGCAGATCGCGATGACTTTGCATTAAGACCAAGATGGAGCCTTTCAACCTCCGAGCAGCCAAGAATTGAATCCATCATGCATCCGAATGTGACTTCTAAGAACTTATGACAGTATCGCTTGGAAGCTGGATCAACTTTGTACGGAGACAAAGCTGCTGGGACCGGGCACCTGTTCATTCGTATTATCTGATTTATTTACAGACGACCCGAGACGAAAAATGTCCTGCGAAGCGATCAAAAAGGCGAAGGCCAAAAAAATTATCAATTGATTACAGACATCTTCAAATTGCTGTTGGTAGCTGCGTCGAATGCCAATATCGTTGTAGATGCCTCTACGTTTTGGAAGTGTTGTTGGTAATGTTGATGTCGATGTTGTTTAGGGAAAGGAGGTCTGTTAGACCAGTCCAATGTTTGTGCGTGTTGGTCTTTCCAAGTACCTGTACTTTGGAGCTGCGGGTCGTGGCTGCCTTTTGCAGCGGCTGGTGGCGAATAAGCTGCAAGAAGCTGCAGCCAGCCGTCCAGGGGAAGAAACGTGTAACAGTGAAGTGCCGCCTGTCACCTTAAAATGGCAGCGGCGGGCAGCTGTTGTGTTAGTGTCAAACACCAAAGAAAGACAGAGACTGTAACTCTTGGACGTTTCCGCGATCGATCAACGAGCGCCACGGCCGGCCCCACACCACTAATACAATACCACTGCGAACGGCGGCCGAGCTCGATTTGAGCATGTTTCTGTTCTGTGGATGGGCGCACTGGCTCTGACATGCCCAAGACACACAAAACTCGCTCCATTCCCTGGCGATTCCAAGCGTCGTAAACTTCACTCGCTACTCTCTCCCGGCATTGAAGACTTCCAGAGAAAACCAGAAACGCTCTCTAAACCTTCTCTCTACAGCGCGCGTGTTTTACGTTCGGCAATCCATTGTCGATTGGTGCTCAGCCGCTGTGCCTCCTATCAGTCAGCTGGCGATCCAATCTAATATATATCCTCGCCGGACCCCTCCAGCCTCAATCGCCTTCTTCAGCGGCTAAACGGCAGTCAACGAGGTGGCACTTCATCAACTTCTTCATCTGTTTGTTGTGGGAACAGACCAGCCTTCATCCAACAGGAATCAGTGCACCTTGCGTCAGTTACAGTCGCTTAGACTCACTCGACGTCAATCTTTCAGTCCCATCTCTCCCCGTCCCGATTCGATTCCCAAGTGCCGTTTCCACATAAATGGAGGCAAGGCACGACGACATGTCTTCCATGGACGGCATGGACGGAACCACATCCACTTCCATGTCAATGATGATGGCCGTCTTCCAGACAAACATTGCCACGCCTCTCTACAGCGAGGCCTGGACGCCTAGCAACACCGGCGCCTACGCAGGCACATGCATCTTTCTGATCGTCCTGGCCGTCATTCTGCGGGCACTCATCGCAGTCAAGGCGATCCAGGAGCAGCGCTGGCTGGACGCCGAGCTCAAGCGCCGCTACGTCGTCGTCAACGGCAAGCTTCCGCTGTCCGAGCAGGTGTCCCGCGACAGCCTGGCCAAGCGCATGGTCTTGACGGAGAACGGCGTCGAAGAGGAAGTCATGGTCGTGGGAAAGAAGCACGTCCACCCCCGCCCCTGGCGCATGTCTGTCGATCCGCTGCGCGCTGTTGTCGATACCCTCATTGTTGGAGTTGGCTACCTACTGTAAGTCCCGCCAGAGAGTTGGAGCAGAAGATTCCCAAGGATGTTCATGTCGCTAACAATGTCACCAGCATGTTGGGAGTCATGACGATGAACGTGGGCTACTTTATGTCTATTCTCGGCGGTACATTCCTGGGCAGCCTGGTGCTGGGCCGGTTCAACCTGTGGAGCGAGCATTGAGCGTTTACCAACCCATTGCAGGACAAGGGGAAAGCCTTCTATTTCTATCATTAATGTATGATACCTCACACGACGTCATGATATGGGCCTATCGCGAAACGGTGTACCTGGAGTTTGGGTTTTGGCATCTCAATGCAACAAAAGAATTGTTCAAACATCTTCAACGTTGCTGCAATATTGTGAATGAAAGCCGTTAGTGCAGCGCTGGGTCTGAAGTATCGGTACTGCGGATCCTACGCTAAGCTGGGTCCTGCAGAAACGTGCTCAAACTCTCTCAAGCCTCTCAACATCCTGGTCTTTAGGTACCCCACCGACGACACTCAAGCAGGCCGCCAACATACTAACCTAAATGATCGTCTAAGTACTAGGCGACTCCCCAGAGTCAGTTAGTGGCCGTTAGGAAGCGTCATGAGACAGCACTTGCCTGGATACCCTCAGTATCCGCACTCACATCACGCAACCAGCATACGCATGTCCCTCACATCACATAGTCCTAAGAGTTGGTACCTGATAAGATTGTCGAAAATTACATCGCTTCGCTCATAATTAAATGTCATTGTCGTGTTAGCATTTTCATCCCTCCAAACTGTATAGAGCTCCCAGTCCCAGCGTCTTAAGTTACGTGTCGAGCGCACAACTAGAACATCGGCTTCTGCCACGTATGTTCTGCTCATTGCACTCCTCACGATTAGGATATACTTCCCTGGAGCCTGGTATAATGTTAGAGAACTATTCATTTGTATGAGACAGGAATTCGGTTGGTTTCTTTCCTAAGTCTTACATAGAAATTACTGCAGCCTTACTATAGATATCCGTTCAGATTTAGAAAGCCCAGGTTGATCTGAGCAGTTCCTGAGAGAAGTTACAGTTTGAATCATTGCATTACTCAGATCAAGTAGACTATGTCAATTGCTAGGAAAATCGGATGAATATTTCTCGAAACGTCATCAAAGCGTCAACGAGCAATACTGCTGGCATTCGCTCAGGTTCGAGTCCACAACGAAATTGGTAGGTAGAACCCATTGATGATTTTATTTATACAGCTATACAAGTGATCTCAATTTCTCCAGTTTTGCATGAGCATTGCCTTTGGAACATAGCAGTCTGCCCCTAGGCACCGGCGGTATAATTGGAGACAATGCAGCTATTAGCAGCTATTAATAGGTTATCTAACCTCGGTGCTGCAGTGATCAGTCTGGAGCAGTTGACATGTGCATTTGACTTATAAGGTCGTGGCCAGGGATCACACTTTGTATGAGGCAAGCGGGAATGGAGAGCCGAAGCGGGTACCGAACCTGAAGCTTCGCCGCCGGGGACGTATCAGAGGCTTCGCCGTAGGACGTGGCTTGGAGATCCAGATTAGGCTCGACAGTATATGCACCTGTTCCTAATGCCATACGTCGGGCAATTCTGCCATACAATTTGTTAAGGTCGAGGAACTGCAGGTGCCTCGTCCCGAACTTCTTCCAATTTGCACAACGAACTGTGCAAATGAGCGTTGCTTTTCCAATAGCTCCGCTGCAGTAAACTGCAATGCTAACGTTTATAATCGCGGTGTTGCACATCTTTGTAAGAATTCATTCAACAACGTGTTCTGTCTCGGCATTGACATTGCTCCCAGTACGTTGCCCGCCATACACCTACTGCTGAATTACTGTTGACAGTAGACTATTGCAAAGAGTGTTTCCTGTTACTTCTTGTACGTCCACATTTTCTTGGTCAGGTCTCAAGCAGCTGTTGTACTAAACAATCAACCGCCACCGTATTAGACATTGGTTTAAGGGAGGCAACCAAAGGTAATAACATAGTGCCGGTCTGCCTTTCTTGCAATGTGTATCAAATACTGCAACAATAGGGTTCTAGCTAAGATTGGTCCTCTTTATCGATGGTAAAATTGTGCCTCTGATTAATGAAGAGCTTTGAACTGAAAATATTGCCTTTCCTCAAACCTGTTCATCCAGATCTTTTTGCTTTCCTACTGTACTGTCCTCGTTGTCACATATTCCTCCTTTGTTTAATTATGAAGGTCGGTCAGTGTTGGTGACGTTCCATGTCAAGCCATCTCCCATCGATTCTACTACAACGTAGCGAATCTTTCGAAGAAACGCGAATTTCCTGTGACAATTGAGCTATCTGGTAAATTAGGCAAAAGGAAGGCCTTGCCTACTCGATTGTGAGGGAGTATAATTTATCTGTTTTGTCATATTTCCGTCCTGAGAGAATTGTGGGAGTGTGCTACAGTCTGATCTTAACTTGTTTATTATATATGACATCGATATGCTCTTGGACAACTGTGACTCTGTACAACAATCAACTCTCGTGGCCATGGCTCTCTCCATAGAGGAGCTCAAATGCCTTCTAACTGAGTCACTCCTTTACTGTCTCGATGATCCCTGCAATGCCAGGTCCTTGCAATTTGGTAATTTACCTTAATTTTGTGAATAGTCTTTACCTTATGTGACATAGCTGTGCAACAGAGCTGCACATACGTGGCTACTATGGCCTTGATAGCTTTCAAGATGATGAATTGCTTGACTTGGACCCTATAACAATGCTATATCTAGTGTCTTCTTTACATAACCTTTCAAGGTTGCTTTCAGTCTTGCACCTTGATGCTACTTACAGTACTGGGAGCAGCAACAGATAACAAGGATGATGTGTCCATTGCAGTTGGCGTTGATGTCGGTGTGACTGCCTATTCTGGCCAGAAGAAGAAGTGAAAGCTTGGACGGACAAAGGTTGTTCCTGTTGTGTCGTAAAGAGGCTGCCTTCGTCCTCCTCCTAGTCCCTTATCACGTAGAGGCGCACCACGCCAGCTCCGTCAACAATGAAAACCTTTCAACACACAAAAAGAACCCCCTCCCCGTCCATCACCGACATACAGTCCGACATTCCTCAGTCATCATCCTTCACGACAGCTTCGCACATCTTGTGTCGCCGTCGCCGTTGCCTGCTGTGAAGAAAATTGATTTCCATCGCCGCAGCGACCAGCCTAGCGATGGATTGCCCTTCCGTTTCCGCCTCGTTGACCAGCAGTATCTCCGAGCACAGCGTCCATTCCCCTCACCCTCATCACCACCACGATGGCAATTGCGCCCACCCTGACACCTGCACCCACGTTACCGAGACGATCACCCTCACCATGCAAGACGACGAGACGTCCGTTGCTCACATTCAGCCTGCTTCGCCCTTCAATGGCGTTACTGGCATGGTTTCTCGTGCTCTGAGATCTGGTGAGCTTTTCTCTCTCTTTCATCTTCGGACCCACTCGTCTTAGATCCTCCGCCTTGATTCACCCCAAACTTTTCACCCGCGGAGATGATTTCTTACAACTTCCATTGCTGACCCTACCGTCTCGTCACAGTCTTCATAGGCGGTACCCAGCAGCCCCAGCAGCCATAGAGCGGCCCTGTGGCAAACGGCTCCGGCACCATTGTGATCCAGAACGCCACACAAACCATTCAGGTGAATAATATGCTTCGCGGCGAGGACAGCATCGAGACGCGTCTGGCCCTCATTGATCGCGTCCTCCCCCGCATTGGCGCGCGCACCATCGGTGGCGACATCCTCGACGTTCTTCTCGCCGGAGCACCCTTTGGCATCTTCTTTGCTGTTGTTTGGTTTGGCAAGACTCCGAAGATTGTGCTTGATTTGTTGCGCAAGTGTACGTCGTCAATCTTCCCTTCCTTCAATCTTTCTCTCTCTTACCTTGTTGAACTCGGCTAACGTGTCTTTATCTTTTTCTTCATTAGAGACCCGTCCATCGCCGCTTTCGCTTCCGCATTAGCAGTATCTTGGTTCAGGTTAAGTTTTCAAGATACGGGTCAACAGGTTTGGATGTTCATATCAAGCAAGCTATGATGTCCATAAGGATTGGAACGGAAAGAAGCTGCTGCTCCAGGTCCAATTTTCACTGGTCTGTGACACAGAAATTAGCTATGTAGCTCTGTAGCTGGCAAAAATACTCCATTCTCATGACTTTCTGCCTGCCCACTGCCCACTGCGCACCACCCATATTATGTCTCGTTCATACGCTAAGCTTCAACAAGACATAATCTCGAAGCACGATTAACTGTGCTATTTTTCCATTTCATCTCCACCTAGTAAGAGCATCTCTGTGATCACTTTTTTTTTTATTTTAATTTTTTTTCAAGAGTGTCGTCAGCTCGGCGAGGATATTCAGGTGATAGGGTCATGACCTCTAAGGTAAGGAGGAAGGAATAAAGTACAGCCATCCTAATCGTCTCTGCATTCATTATAAGGTAGATAGTAGTTTCTATATAGTCAGTAATTATAACCTACCTTATTAATATCTTTCTTAATCTTAGCATAGTAACTAATATAAATCTAAACCTTATTTAATATTTACTCATTATTAGAGAAATAAGCTTTGTTATAAAGCTATGCTTCCAGTACTTTGCAGACATCTGAAAATAAGGAGGGAGACATAATGTTTCGTTTCAGCCAGGCTAATGCATACTCTCAAGAATACAAGGAATGTAAAGTAGTATACAATACAGCAGCCTTTTGCATCAGAAATTGGAGCCTAGAAGCTAGACACAATGCCTTGGAAAATTAGATACGAAGTCACGGTGAGGTTAACGAGTTCTACCGAAACGTTGAGGTCGTGGGCAATAGTTGGCAACGTGGGAAAGTAGATGTTTGATGCAAACCCAGAAACTCTTCTCGAATTAGCAATAAAGAATGGCTATTTCCATATGTTTTAAGCTTACAAGTAGCTGCTATTGAGACAATGAGAATACTAAGAGCTTTTTGTCGCTTATCGAAAATGCTGTAGGGCTCGCTGGTTTCGGGAGCTATCCGAGAACCGAGAAGTGCCGAGTTCTGTCGACGGTGTGTTCGCTGCAGAACTGCCAAAAATGGACTGTGTTTGGGCAAAGAATATATCTAAAGAGCTTACAAAATTCCAAGTATTTGTCCTGGTTTAGTTTACATGCGGCGATTGTGGGAAACGAAAGACGGTTCACTCCCTGGGCCGATTCGGGAAACGATCTTCTGATTGAAGTCATTAATCAATATCCACCACTGTCCGAAGATACGACATGCCAAATCCTGGACATCTTATTTGAAGGCAACGCTTTGAGTCATGACACTCTTCGGGCGACACAAACATTTACCTTGCTCTCTGAACTGGTCAAAACTGGCCGATTCAAAGCGTTGACGCAAGCATTATCCTTCGGGATCAATGTTACCAGCCGCAATGAAGGAGGGCGGACTATACTACATGACATGGACATTGGCCGTGGCTTGGGTTCCTCTACATCATCAATGTTGCTCAGTTTCCTACTCTCAAACCAGTTTGACCTCGGTTCACGAGACAACCATGGCCACACAGTCCTACACTTTGCAGCTGCAGGCTGGAAAGAGGAGCTTCTTACGCTTCTGCTTGAGAAAATATTCGACAAAACCGTCGGTTCAAATTCCTTCACGTTTCTAAAGAACACGCTAGAGAACAACAAGATTCAGCAAGAAATAACAGATAGCCCTGATTTCGAAGTTGTACACATGGTTCAGAATATGTGGAAAATCACCAGACTTCACGACGATTGCGATACCTGCTCACTAGCAGGCCGCAGAGTTTCTGGGAGGGGTTTCGTATAATATTTCATATATATCTAGCCACATACTCCGTGCTTCCCTTTGGATAGACGAGTTGGATTGGCTCAATCATATGACTATTTTATTGTAATTGTTCCTAAAATCCGAATAGAATTGAATCTGCTAAGGTTGCTAGAACATGAAGGCCGAGAGTGATCCCTCATTTATGTCAAAGGAAGGTCTTGCTGACTGGGCATGATGTCATTTAAGACGATATACGGCGTATATATCGGCTGTGGTAGTAATATAAGAAAGAACGCAAACCCTGTGCCGAGAGTGTAGCTTTCGAATAGGCATGGCGATGTTCAATGCTCTGAAATCGACACGATCTTCCATAGGACACGCGGAACAGTTGGCAAGGGGGATAACAATGCTTCCACAAGTGATGGAAGATAAGCCAAATACCGAGAAACCTCTCTCCACGGCCGTAGCAACTTCCCGAGAGATTTGGATGTTCCCGCTTGGGCGCCTAGGGCCGAAGTGCTGCAGTCCCATCGTCACCTCTCCCATTGCCTCACCACGGCTTCTCTCTACGAAACAGTGCTCGAGATTCGTTCACCTACACGCACACAGCTGCAAGTCAACGTCATACACGTACGCTTTCTGCAAACGTGCCTAAGGAAGAGGTACGTTGTAGGTAGGCATAATCTCACACAGACTTCTACACAAGACTCAGGCCCAATTTCTGCCACCACAAGCCAACTAAAACAATCCGACTTTCGATGCCGACTTGCCAGACAACTCCACACTTGGACAGCGCCTATCTGGCACAGACTATGCAAGGTCTGGCATGTGAGAGCGAGTGGTCATCGTGCCATCGCGACGAAAGGCAGCCAACCAGACGCAAACAGCCTAGACCCTGTCGCCATGACATGCATCTCGGCTCTTTCCGTCACGCATGTACATACATACAATGGGGGATTGGGCCGCAGATGGCCCGACATGCAAAGAAAGGAAACCATGGCCCAATCCGTGGTAGTATGACGAAAGGGAGACAAATAATATGAACCCGGTCGCAGAGCGGCGTTTTCTTGTTGTATCAAAGCTTAAACAAATGGGACCTTCCTAGTTGAGCTGCTCCATCTACCCCGAGTCATAACAACAAGCAAATGTCTCCAAAGCAGGCATTTTCTTCAATTAAGTGTGAATATTGAGGATTCTATGAAATACTATCATACAATGGTGGTTCTTGGTCTCTCATCTGACTCTTCCTCAACTGCGTCAGTCGAAAGAGGCACTCGCGAGGAGTCTGTTCGAGTCGAAGAGTATCTCCTACTGGAGCGAGTAGCGACAGATGGAACACCAGCAGATAAAGAGGGCCTGAGGGAGCGAGAATAATGAGAGATTAGAGCCGGAGCTATACCTGTGATGGGCTCGGCTGCACGATGGTGACCAGGAAACATCCGTGTCCTATACGTCCGAGTCATCGTGAAATCGTGACTTCGTGCCAGATATCCCGCTCCCCCAAATTCAGAAAGGCGGCAAATTGCTCGCCCAGCAAAAATGTTGATGCGCGTTTCACTGGCATCTCCTTTTGATCCCTCGCCAACCGTGCACAGGGCTTTCCCCAGTCATAGATGCAGTGCGTTCTGCCTCGACCATTTCCACAATGGGTAGAACAGGACGCGCAAACTATATGCCGATATATGTCCTTTAGCGTTTTGGACCTGGCTCATCGGCAGGCATACCAGAATTATCCAGCTATCGCCGAATATTGCGCGAGATCGTGTTGTCGTCAGGTGATTATGCGGCTAGAATGTATAGGGAACGAGGAGTTGGTCTGAAAAACGCGAGAGATAAAGAGAGACTAAATAGCGAGTAGGAACAGACGAAAGACCAACACCGAATTAAAACGCCAAACCACCAAAGCCGTCGCAGATTATGGGATCATCTGGTCGATGTCCGGACGATGTAACGACGTCTCACGAATGCATTATATGCTGGGTATCAGCGCGCAAGCCAAAGTCACCATGACGAGCCGACTACTATGACTGGTGAGATGTGTGCTGGGGCAAGCCGGACTGTGGCGGCATTGCGTATTGCCCACCGCGCTGTTGGACATAACTCTGATATGCGAGGGCCTGCGATGGGTCCATCGGGACATTGGGCATATAGCTGGGAGGCATGTGCGGGTTCTGCGGCATGGCTCGGCTCTGTTGCGGTGGCAGGTGGGCGCTGGGAGGCTCCTCAGGCGAGTCAACCTGATTGGAGTCGTCGACACCGTTCTCATTGCCGGGATTGGGCTCAGGTGCATTTAAACATGCCTGATGTTAGGTTAGCATGAGCTGCGACGGGCAAACGAGCGGTGCGACAAGGTGCGATGCATACCTGAATCAAGTTCTTGCCCTCCGCCTTGGTGACGAGCGGCTGAAGCTTTGGGGTGGTGAAGGTGTATACCAATCCGGTCTCCGAGACCACCAGGAGTAGCACCTGTGTACCGGTGAGAACGGACAGCTCGTACGCCTACATTTCGGGAGCATTGAATGTTAGCAATTAGCTATCGATTGCGGTGCTGCGGCGACGGGGAATCGCGTGAAGATGTGATGATGAATTGAGGGGGAATTGACGGCGCAACGAACCTTCTTCATAATACCGGCCTTGCGCTTCGAGAAAGTAATGTGGCGACGCGACTTGTCGCTGATGAACTTTATCTCAATCTTGCGACGCTCACGGCCACCCTTCTCATCGTCGTCATCGTCATCGTCTGCGGTGCTGGGACGAGGGCGTTTGACGCCACGGTTTTCGCCTGCAGAAGCGCCATTTCCGTGCTCATCGAGGTCGGTGGGCGACGTTTGGTCGTGCTGATCGGTGATGTCGGCCATTGTTTCTTTAATGGTATCACGAAATGCTCAAAAAGGCAAAGATGGTGGAGATGCTGTTTTGAGCGTTGTGCCGATGGCCTATACTTGATCTGGCGTTGAGCGGAGAGGCTCTGGTGTAGCTGCCTCTTGTCGCAGAAACCTGGTTGGGTGCTGCTGTATCGAGTCTGGCGTGCCGACGGAAGGAAGCGAGGAATCAGGTTTAATTTTTGTTTGCTTTGTTTGACTTTCTGGGCGCCCCAGGTATCCGGCGAGTAATGGCACTCGCAGCAGCTGCTTGTTCTGACAAAGTATGTATCGGCAGTGCAGCAGCAGGGACAGATGGATACCACACCCTCAGAAAAGTAAAGAAAGCGCGACTGTCCAGGAAGAGGCTTGATGGCCGGATATGAACGTGTCAATCAACGTTTTTGGTGCTGCAATTCCCCTGTACAGAAACAAGCAAAAAGTGTCAGTACAGGAACTTGACTGATCAGGCTTGGGGGACTGCAAAAAGAATGAAAAGAGGATAGTGAGGTGGTAGCACACGGGCTGCGGCGGGCCACAGCCAGACCAGACAGTTTAAAAAACGAAGGCGGGGGGGTGGGCAGTTCCAGTCCTG